TCCCAGTAGAAGTTGTAGATAGATTAAATCTGCCTTTTGGGAACAGGGTGTTCTCATAAAAATCATGAACATAGTTGTGGAAATACAGCTTTGTTAAGCTCATTTCTGTAGTATTATACACCAGTAGTGACAGTCATCACCTATAACGTTGCTATTTAAACAAATTTTGTCATAACGGGGTGGTGGTGGTGGGGAAATAGTAAATATTCCACAGTAGATGGTACTGATATATTTTATTTCAATAATTGCTATTTTAAGTTTGTGATACTGTAGCTTCTTTAAGCAACTGTAGTTCTCTGCTGCTGAAGCTTTGTCTCCCCCTGTATGAAAGGATGGCAGAGGGAAACTAGAAGCCTGCTGAAGGTCACCCAGCACACTGGTGCTGAGCCAAGCCTGGCACCCAGGTTATCAGCACCTGGTTTCCAAGGCACTGCCTGCACTGATAGGAGGCTCTGCTGGCATTGATAGGAGGCTTACCTCTACTTAAATTCAAATGTATTTTAATGAATATTTTTGTTATTCTTGCTGCCTCTTATTATCTTGATCAGGTAAAAGTACTTGTGGAGTGAAATGGAAAGTATTTCCTTTAAGTATAGAGTGATGACTAAATTAACTCAGTTGAAGGTACTTACAAAATGGTGACAGCATAAGAGGAAGGAGGTATTTGAAGGAAAGGGAAGTCTCAGCTGGAAGATGATTCACCCAATTAGAAGTACTAGAGAACAGTTTTGTCACTGGTTAATGCCCTAGTTTTTGGCCATCATAGTCTTGCATAATAAATCCGTAACACAGGTCCACGTCTCAAGGAGTGGTGTGGCTTTGTTTCTGCTGAAGGCTGGTTAGCAAGTCTCCCCAGACTTTGTTCTGTCATGTCCTAGAGCAGGACAGGCTCTGAATGGGAGGAGAAGGAGCTAGGGACAAGTAAAAGAAGGTACTTCACCATAATTGTTCTTACTACTCCCTGCATGGATCTCTGAAAAGCCTGCTTTCCATTTTTTTCAGAAAACATGTAAGCGTTTAGTGGAACACTTTTTTCTGTTTTAAGTTCTTATATTCTAAAACAGAAATACATCTTAGTGGCTGTGGCTTTGAACTCTTGCCTGTGGTCTTAGCTTAGCAGGAGTACTCAACCTATCCTTAATGAAAATTGTCTCTGAAGATTATAGTTAGTCAGTACAGTTACGTTTATATTATATACATGTATAAATAAACTTGCTGTTCACTTTCAGTCTTTGAAAATACTTTGAAAAGTCAAGTCATACTTTGATTTGGATATCAGACTGTATAATTGGAATATTGCTTAGTTTTGGCACTAACATGCTGAGAAAGGAAAGAGTAGAAACTCTTAGTTACTGAGTTATTTATATAAATTTTCTCTGGGGAGAAAGTAGAGATCTTCACCTCAAACTAAAATTCTCATGTGTGATAGTTGACCAGCTTTACTGGATCTATTAAAAAATTAGAGTTTTTTTCTTTTAATGCTCTACTCTGAACATTACAGTAATTGGAAGAATGAGGTTTTTTGTATGTTTGCTTTTTTGAACCCTAGGGCATGTGGGGTTCTGAGAAAGATTTGACATGATGTCCCCACAAAAACCATTTCACCCATCCTTATGTTACCTAAGCCTGTCCAGCCAAATGAAAATATACATTGTAGCTCATTGTATAACTTGTAATACATGTATTGTGCCAATCTTGAACAGCAGATACCTGGGGTTTTTTAGGGCTACAGGAACCTTATGTCCTCAACGTCAGCCAGGTGCTATGTCAACACCGATAATATAATGCAGGTGACATTAAAAGAAGGGGGATAGTGTGTGGTGTGAAACTCCAAAACAGACAATGTGATTGAAAGACTGGAGGAATGGAGGAACCCAAAGGCATCGAGGGAGGAGAAACCACCTATTTCCGTCTCCAGTTTGCTAATTATGCCTTTATGGGCTTGTGCAACAGAAGTTGATTTGGCTTTCAAATGGAGATAGAGGTAAGATTCAGTTAGGGCTGAAAATTAAGGAGTTTGATAAACTACAACTCTGGTTGTGGTTTAAAAGGGTGGTGTTGAGGATGCCTAATTTGGTTAAAGCAGCCCCCAGCAGCCTGTTGTTCTCTGAGCTATGCCAGCATAATTGTCTGAGTGACTACATGAAGAACCAGAACTGGCTGTGATCTAGCTGGTAAAAATGCTTCATGCAGGCTTTTTTTCCCTGGGTTTTTAAAGATTTTTAGACTTCCCGTCCATCTCTCACCATGCAGTTGCCTGAACTGTCATAGAGGAAGGGTGATGTGATGCAAAGGTGAGAATAAGCTGAAAAACAGAAAGCACTGAAATTGGAATGGCTGCTGAACAAATTAGTATGAAATTATATCCTCTGTCTGTCAGAGTGTGCTGCGGAGTGCACCATCTGTGCTTTCTTTAGAAAAAGAAAGATGTTAGGTTTTCCTTAAAACTCAGAATGAATAGACTATTCAGCCTCATCTCTTACTTGGCTTGTACTGGTTTCTGAAGATTAAGTGACCCTGTAGAAAAATCAGACTTTTTTTCCAGGCAGTATCTGTGAGTTTTTCTCTTGGGACTTGATTTTTCTGAAGTATCTTGAAGTGTTCAAAAGCCTCTGAGAAAGCTTTTTATTAGCTAGCTACTGCTTATTTAAGTAAGCAGTACTTTAAGGCTTATTACTTACCCCACTACCCAGACAAAGAAGTGATGGTCTTTGCTTGCTGTAATAAATTTTCTCAGATAAAATGTACTTTTCCACCTGGTATGTGCCTTTAACTTGCCCATATCCATTAACATGGTGGTTGTTAAGAATCTGTGCTTGCAGAGAGAAATTTGATGAGAAAACTGGCCAAATGATTTGGTAGCTAAACTTTACTTTCTTGAAAGCCTTTGGTACACTCAAATTGCTTTTCCTTACAGCAAAAATTTGTAAGAAATACTTACAAACTAGGTAACCACCAAGTTAATTGTCAGCAGGTGATTGTGTTCTGCTCTCTTGCATATACAACTATGAAGGAAGGACATCACTGGAGTAGGTTGGCCAAGTCAACTCTAACTTGGCTTGCTGATGGTTGCCTTCTGCAGAATTGACAATATGATTTTCTGGCAGATAAAGCTCTGGAACAAAGTCTGAGGCTACAAGAACAGGTTTTCTCACAGCTAAGTTGGTTGGAATAGCCAATGCAAGTGAGGCTCGATGGTGGGTTTCTGGAGGAGTTGGCTAAAAAGAGAGTGGGAGCACACTGGTAGAAAGGTTGTAGAGTGATGGTCCGTGTTCAGCTGCTGCATCATGATAATACCTTGTTCAAAAACCCCCTGTTAAATACTCTGAAAGATTAAATGGGTGGAAGCTTGAATTTCTTGTTTCTGCTGTACTTTCAGTACAGTAAATGGTTGGTAAATGTCCATAGTATGACTATTTGTTTTTATTTCTGTTCTTTGTTGTTGATTTTTAGGTCAATGTGTTTCATACTCAGAAATACGAAGGGAGTTTCATCATATATCTGATTCTTAAAGTGTTACTTGCAGTTTACACCTCAGGCTGTGAACCTTGACTTACTCCAAGCATTCTATTAGACGTGGCAAGCAGTAGTGGTGTATATGGCATCTCTGAGCAGCAGCACAGCTGCTCCTGGATTGTGTCTACTTGTAAAAGTCCATGAAAGGCTGCAGCATGGTGCAGGCAGCAAATAGCCCGGCTGCCTGGGAGCTGCAGTCATGGTTTTATGGACCTTAAAGCCTTCCACCTGTCACACAGGGGAGATGAGAGCAGGACGTGTGTCTTACGGAAGTTTTAAAGCTGAAAAGTTTTCCAGATGAGCAGTATAACACGTTATTACTTAGTGATAATTTAATTATTGATTATCATTGCAGTTTAATATTTTGCATTAAAAATAGTATCGATTTATATCTGCGGATATCTCTTGGAGATACTTGAAGCAAAAATAATACATTAAGGGCAACATCATGTCATTAGGTACATGCTGAAAAGAATAAATCAGGAAGATACCACCTCTGTAGTGCAATTTCTGCTTTTACCTTCCAGAATTAAGTTCCTACATTACTTTTTGACTGTAGGATACACAGATAATGTACACTTCTATAATTTTCAGGATTAATTGTCTTTATGACCACAGTGGACACAAAACTATGCTGTTCTGAGTAAATGAACCTTTTTGTATAGCCTTTAAACAGGGCACTTGTTTGCCTGTCCTAGATGTGTCAGTGTATAACACATGGTCTTTTCATGGGTTTGGATGACTTTCACAAGTTCAGATGGGAAACAAATTCTGCATTTTGGTATTTGATATAGGGGAGATCTCATTACAACTCCATCACTGTAACTAGTTTGGTGGAATCTCAGCAAGAAATTACTGTGTTGCTTTGGGATGTTTTCAGAATTTGATACATTTTAATCTTTTTTAATTCTACTTGCTTATAAATTCCATAATCTTAAGTGGAGCTATAGTCTAAATAATTTACTGGTTTAGTGCCTGTTTTTACAGAAATAATGCATTCTTGATCCCCTTTATTCCATTCCACACTTCATAATTCTTCATATCTGTTAATTCTTTGTAAATAATTCTGTGCTGTAAATAGACTTGAGAAAGATGGAAAAGTCATTTCATTTCTAAATATACACATACATATTTCATTTCTAAATGTACATATGCAGTTATTTGAAAGTTGTATGATTCAGAATTGCCCGTCAGTAAAAACTGAAGATGAATTTGCATGTCCTTCTCTTTTGCATCTCATGTGCTTAGCAGAATTCACAGTTTGTACATTGGTGATGTGCCTCTGTTCCTTTGGACCCAGTACTTTCCTATCCAAAAAAGAAAGTCTTTGATCCAAGTTGATGAGCTAAAATCTGAGTAAATTTTGGTGTGACCTGTAGAAACATACTTTATCTTCCTTCTCTCAATGTGGTGATAAGGTTCTGATGTTTTTTCTCTCCTGTTCTTTTTTTTTTTCCTTTTTTTTCCCTCTTCCCCTTTTCCAGTGTTCTATTTAGGTGAGTGTTTTAATTTTTTGAGCCCTTCCTGTTCCTCCAAGAGTATTTGTTCATTGTTTTAAGAAAATCTCAGACTTGGAGTGCTTTTCAAAGCTTTTGTCAAATTCCATCATATATAAAATCTGTTTTGCATTTCTGTGAAACCTTTCCATCCATGTGAAATAAATTCATTATGTAAATGCGTTAAGGTAACATTTGTTGCAGTTTTTATTTGCTGTATTATGTTTTTGAGCTTGTTTGGCTTAAAAGGCAAAAGTGAACAGTTCTTAAAGTCATGTGGGGGCTGGCCTTTTTCCTTGATTATGTGCTTTTTTGCATGGTAAAAATTCAAACCATTTTTATGGTCTGTCTTCACTTTTAGGTCCTACGTTGCCTCGACAGAATTCACAGCTTCCCTCTCAAGTGCAAAATGGTCCATCACAAGAAGAATTGGAAATCCAGAGAAGGTACGGTATTAAAAGTAAACAGCTGTTAAATTCAAGAAAGTGATACCTCCTAATGATGAGAAATTAAATGTCAAGGACTTATAATTACTCTCTTGCATTAGGGCAGCATTTGTATGCGTGTGGTTTTCCTTAGTGCAGCTCGACCATGTAAAAGCTTTGATTGTAGCTGATCCCTTGTTCGTGCTCTCCACCCATTCAAACAATGCAACTGCTATTGGCCTGTCAGGAAAGAGCTGAAGATCAGAGGGGAAGCCTTGGGAGGTTTCACTGCTGTCATTTTCAACCAGACTAATTAATTTTGCAGTGACTGTTTTGTCTTCAGTTTTTGACACACGCTTATAAAGAAGAAAGCAGCAAGCAAAGAAGGAAGTTTTAACCTTTAGAAGCAGAGAATTGAATCATCACAAATGACAGCTTTTCTTCCTGAATGTGGATGCAGTAGATCAGAACATTCTATTGGAAGTCTTGTTTGCCTTCGTCTGTATTACTTAGCAAAGAAACCTTCCTTTTCTACTTCTAGTGTATAAATTTATGTAACCTTTAGTTGTTTAAGTTTCAGCTGTAGCAGTGCTGGTTATATCTGTGCTGCCTTCAGCGAGTAGTCTGTGTTTCCCTGACCAGCTGGCACTTCTCCAAGCTAAGCTGTTCCCTGCAATGTGAAGCCACTGTACCCTGTCCTATGCCCTGTGGGATATTTTTCAGACCCATAGCATTTTTAACATACGGATTCTTTCCGTTCCTTTTAAAAATTGCTATGTATCAATGATGTGCCCAAGTTGTAGGAAACTCTGTAGTTGCCAGATTCCTTCATTTGTTTTGTGGCAATACAGGTTAATGCTGTAGATTTAGTGCATGGGATATGGGTATATGAAAATGGCAAAGTCTTGTAGGACAGTGCTGTTAGACTGGTTAAATGAAAACAGCAAGACCTTGGGCTGTCTCAAGCATACTGCCTGTGATGCAATCCTGGATTGTTTTACCATCAAAATACTCCCAGGAGATTAGCTGTTCCCTTCCTGAAGGGATGCTGGGAGACATTTAGGTCACATGCAGTACAGATGCAGGGAACAAGATCCTTGGATAAATGGGAGGTGGTCCAGACTGATGGTGTAAACGCACCTAATAGCTTTCTGTGGTAACTGGAAAAATGCTTAAACATGTTTGGGTCTAATTGGCACTGAAGTTTTTTCTGTGTTGATATTTGGCACTTAGTTTGTTTATGAAAAGGTGAGCAGAAGCAGATTGCTAATTTGGGAATAATTCATATTATAGGTTTGATAAACTAGTAACTAAAACATATTGAACAAAGTTTTGACATCAAAATTGGTCATACTTGTCTGTCTTTTTTCTACAGTATGTTCTTATTCTGAGCTGGGATCACATTATCTGAAAGTTACCTTGTTTAAAAACAAATAGCAAGAAGCTCATTACAAATTTGTCTGTTTGATGTACTTATGTACAAGTTTGCTGTCATAGTAAAGGTCTTTATGTCACTTCTTTTGACAGACTTTTAAAAAGCTTTTTTTCTTTAGATATTTTTTTCTGTTCTATATTAGTGGCTTTTAGTATTTTTATTTCTTGTCTGTTCCTTTAGAAGGCTGTATTAACTGAAATTTCTAATGCTGAAGTATTTTTCAGAGTAGCATTGTAGATAGGCATCTCTTCAGGAAGAAGTGCTGCCCTATATTAAGAGCTCTGCAAGTCTCTTTAAATTTTTTGTATATAAAGAACATATTATCAGATGGCATTCTTATGGCTTCATTTCTCATTTGATCAGTGTGCTCTAATTGTTTTCATCTAATGTAATGTCCTCTTTGAAGTCTGGTCCTGGTTTTGATTTGTTTTTTCCCTAAAAGAGGATGGAGCTCTGGAGTGTTTACTCATGCTGCCAGCCAGATTGTCTGTGGAAAGACTATTGACGTTGTGTCATTAAGCTTTAGAAGAACATGTAATTTTGTTAAAACATTTCACAAGTGCTTCTTCAGTCTTGTTACTGCTGTAACTACATGGTTTTAATGAAGGTCAATTAACTCTAAGCTCGAACTTCTCTTCCGTACTGTCTTTCAGCTTTCAAACTGTAAGAGCAACAGACTTACTCCCATAATGTAGAGAGTAGTAAATAGTTGGGAAAAAAGGTTTAGGCATGTACTACTTGTGACATATCTATGAGTGACATTTCCAATCTCAGAAAAGGGTAAAGGCAGTGTGGGCAGAATTGAATCCTGTGGGGAGCACTAAGGCTACAGGGAATGCAAGAAATGGGAATAAATGTTACTGCGTAGGAAGGAACATGGGGTTTGTGATGGATCAAGAGAAAGGCAGGCTTTGCTAAGCCTATGGCTTGTGGAATATGTGTCTGTTGGGTGGGGCTTTTCTTTAAAATGTGGCTTGATAATAGTTGTCTTTAAATGCTGTTCTCATATCCCTGCCCTTAGGTGTACCTGGATTTAGTAGTGTTTAACTGACTACCATGTTGAGTGCAGGAAAATATTTTTTGAAATTATTCTAAGCTAGAGAAAAACATCTGCTTGCATAAAAATTAAAGTTGGAAAAGGGACCCTGTGGAGGTCTAGTCCAACCCTCTGCTCAAAGCAGGACTAATTTCAAAGTTAAATTATGTGGCTTTTAGCTTCAGGGTTTTCCTAGGCAGAAATAGAAACATTTCTTCAGAAGTATTTTGCCAAAGGACTGACCAGTGAAGAGTGGCATAATAAAGAGAGCTCTTCAACAGATCTGATGTTTTTTTCCTTTGCTTTTGTAACCAGTGTTCAAGAATCTTGGGGAAATTGGGAACTGAATTAGATAATCCCCAGCAAAAGTGTATTATTTTGGTTCAAAGAATCTTTTCTATCTTAGAAAGGATTTAGATGCCTTACATTTTAAGTAGAAGTGCTAAAGTAGTAATATTACTTTGCTTATTTTGCTGCAGAGCTTCTTACTTGGATGCTTGTATTGCTTACTGTGCAGTGAGACAATTTCTAAAGCTACAAGGACCAGATGTACGATCTAAAACACCAAGGTTTTTATGAAGCCGAGATTACACATGAGGTGTAATAAAGTAATTTTGTTTGGTGAATTGTAACCTTTGTTACTCTCTTTTAAGAAACCTTAACACATGACTTATGCTTTCCCTTTCAGGGAGTACTTGAAGTTAACTGTAATTTTCCTTAACTTGCACTCACTCAACTACAGTAATAACAAGCTTTAAAACACTCCAGCTTCTATTTTTAATCCTAAAAACTGAAGGGATATTTTGTTATATGTGTTGTTTTACATTTTGTCAGCGTGGTAGTCAGGCAGTGTTTATGAATTCCACTGATTGATAATGAGCCAAGTTGAGTTGACATATGTATTTGTTAATAACTTCAGAGTTACTTAATGTCAAACACCATTTTAAAATATAAGATTAGTTCATGGCATGCTTGTGTGTGCTACTCGTGCATGTAAATTTACCTTCTCTTCAGACATGGTAAATATATTGTCAGGAATATGAGTCATTGGGTTGGTATCTGATATGACACTTGGGAATTTAATGAGTTAATGTTTATAAATAACTTCAAAATCATCACCGCTTCATAAATAAAGAGACCAAGAACACCAGAAACAGAGGAACTGTATAGATAGTAAGGAATAATGAAGGTATACAAGCCTCCTGTTGTCCTTCAGGGACGTAATGGACCAAAACTTGACCGAATTCTTTCGTAAGTACTCAAAAATGTTAGAAGCTTGCAAAACGCAACAGCAGAATATTGGGGGGGAGGTTGTAATTGTTAACTACTTCAGATTTGCTTACAATTTTAGTTTGTTTTGTGGATTGGGTCGACTGTTAAAGAAAAATTGGTGTGTGACTGCTAGAAAATAGCGTTGATATGGTGTGATGTTTTCATAACATCTTGTGAAAGGCTTCTTAGTTTTGGATAGTGCAAGTTCAGAGGCTGTCAAGGGTAGCAATTTCTTATTTACCAATAGACTCAAAGGAAAGATATTTATTTTACAGATGAAAAATGTTTTTTCTGAGACTTTGCTAATGTTAATTTTTTAACTATGGTAAAAGAATTTTCCCCCTCCCTGTAATTTAGTAATTATTACATAGATAATTTCTGAGCTGTTTTGAAAACATGGACATGGTAAAAGAAAAAACCTTTATCCCACAATTCAGTAGTAATATAGCTATAGTAATTTGAAGAATGAAAGCTTGCCCATCACTTTCTGTGCCTGATAGCCTGGTGTCTACTGATTTCCCACAGCCTGTAATCTTTTCCTACTTAGTGGCCAGATGTAGTGTTTCCAGTTTTCCTTTGCTTTTGAAATTGTATCATTTATCCAACAGCTTATTTCAGGAAGCAGGATTTCTTTAAAAGGCATACGGATTGATTAGCTTATAACTGACCAGTCAGTTCTAACCTGAAATACACATATGAATAGATACAGTAGTTGGATTTTTGGTTCAGGGTTTTCAGAGTGGTCAGTAGAATACAGTCGTATGATTGTATTGTGTGCTGTACTTGTGACAAAATCTGCATGAAGTTTGCATCCCAGAGGCATGGTTTAGATGGAATTGCATACTAGGACAAGAGACAAAAGGAGACCAAAGCAAGACCCATCAGCTGGTTTTGTTTGTCATCATAAAAGGTTAATTTTTTTTTTCTTGCCCTCAAAAGTTTCTTGAGAACAGGGTTGAGTTTTGTTATAATAATGCTGGGTAACGTTAGTCTGTATAGCAGGCTGAGAAGAGCACTCTTCCATTAAACAGTCTTTTGACTCTGTTGACAAAGTTGCTTTGAAATCTTACGCTTTTTGAAAATTTTTCAATTCTATGGGGTTTTTTTTCTATTTAATGCAAAATGTGTCATTTGGATTAGAAACTGGTCTATATTTTTCCAGATTTTTAGTTATTGTGGTTCCCTTTTATGAAATTGTGTTCCAGTTGTACTCGCTGGAGTATCCCACTGAGAGGGAGTTGCCAATAAAAGTAGATTTTTCTACTACTGAGATTCTTA